CTCAGATGTCTCGTTTACCGGTTGTTTTGTTAATGCTCTATGGTAGTAAGAGCATATTTAATGACTTTTTCACCGGGTCGATTCCATACTGCTTATTATCTTGCGACGACCCCAAGTCTGGTCTGATGGTCTCAGATGCGAACGTTTCGTGCGGGTCGGCGTGGTCTCCGTGGTGTCTGGGTCGCCGTGGTGGCCGTCAGTCTGTCCGCGGTCCGGAATAAACAACAACCCTTCCGTGACTCAACCCGCAACTGAGTCACGCACCACGGAGGCGCCAGGGGTGGCAGCTCTCCACCCGCCGCCTCCGCGCAATGACTCATTCCGCCGAATCAACCCTTGCTATTTTTACATCGAATACGACAGGGATAAAAACGGATCCTACTCGACCAACCTGTTGACTACGGTTTAACCGTTTCCATAGAATGGTATGAATGGTCATTTATTTGTGAGACAGCTGTAATCAAAATCCACGCTTTTCTGTAAGCTTTCGATTATTCGGAACGATATTTGTCCATACAAAAACAAAATCCTATAAACGTCTATTTGGTAATAACTTATTTTTAACATCTAGTTTTAAAATGTTTAGATTTGTTTTCATTTCATAGGCACTGACATAATGGCGGATATCTCTGGACGGGATATACGCCCTTGACAGTTATAATATTAAACAGACCTCCATGTTCAACCAGGTCTCGCGACTACCGACAGTTAAGACGTTTGGTCGTTAACCCACCCCCTCGGAAGGAGCAAGCGGGAGAAGTGACATGTCGGCAGTTTGCTGCAGGGTGATGTCGGCTTCTTCACCGAACCTCACAGAAGAAGCAGATTTTCCGTGCGCGGAGGTAAGTCGCTCTTAACTTGAGTATCTAAAAGTGTGATAAGGCCTAATCGGCTAAGTGCGCACGCTAACCTCAATGTTACATGACATTGCGACCCCAGTGGGAACGTAGTTCAGACGTTTGGTGGTGTTGAGAGGATGTGCAAAAGAATTGTTGATTTATAGTAGGGATTAAAGTAATATTTAGTATTTGGATTTAACAGTTTATATTGGACCGCGACAGCCGATTGGTCAGCGTGATATACATACTCGGCTCGCTGACCCCACGGTCCCGTGTTCGATTCCAACTATCTCCTCTGGCCCTTTTTTTCAAGCAACCCTTCTCCCTGTTACATACATGATTAAACATATATTGGGTTGTTTCAATGAAATATCGTATTTTATAGTTTCAGAAATTCAGAGAGGATATCGCTGTTTTCTGTGGTTTACTTCCAATTGTTTACATATTATAATTAAACAGGTATTAATCCTCTTCTTTTGTTTATAATGATGAGCTCCCCATCCATTACACACTTTTTAGTATACTTCCAAATATGACCATGGAAACACGCGGTTTTCATGTAATATTCCTTTAACCTCGGTCATTCGGCAGCTGAGGCTCAGTAAGGCGTTTGGGGAAGGAAGTGTAAATGGACCATTCACCGTTGGTTTGCTACGTTTTCGGAAGGGAATACCGAATTGGTAAACGAGCGCCGCGGAAGACCCAACTTTAGTTGACAACGATGTCCTTAACCTTCAGGTAGAAGAAAACCACTATCAAACTGTTAGAGGACTCGCGGCACAACTAAATGCAAGTACAGCTACCGTGACCAGGCTCTTAAGGAACATAGGAAAAGCCAAAAAGCTTGATCTATGGGTCCTCATGATCTCACTGAGCGACAGCAGTTAAAGCGCCTTGTTGGCGTTTCGTTGCTTGTCAAGCTAAAATCCGAGCCTTTTCAGGAAAGAATAATCACTTGTGATGAAAAATGGATTGCATATGACAATCAGCATCGGTCAGGGCAGTGGTTAAACATCAACGAAAGACCAGGACACATGCCAAACTAAATTTACACCCCAAAAAATTGATGGTAACCGTATGGTGGTAAATGGCTGGAATTATTCAGTACTCCTTTTTGCCTAGAGATGAGACGGTGGGACCATTACATCGTACTGCAAGGAAATTGACAAAATGCATAAAAAATTACTCAGAAAACAACCTACATTGGTAAATAATACTATACTCCTCCACGAGAACGCCAGGCCTCATGTTTCAAAACATACTGTAAACAAATTGAAAGAGCTTAGCTACGAAGTTCTTCAACATCTACCTTATTCTCCAGACTTGTTTGTAACAGATTTTCACCTGTTTAGGAATTTAGACAAATTCGTCAAAGAAAAGAATGTTTAAAAACGATGTTCAATTCCAAAAAGCGTTTTCTGATTTTGTTTCATTGCAAAGCCCAGAATTCTTCAGTTCCGGCATAAAAAGGTTGGTCACGCGTTGGGAAAAATGTGTAGAAAATGAAGGTAAACACTTCGAATAAAATGATTTTCTTTTTATGTAGTAATTTTATTTTAAAAAACCTTTACCTTGGAAACGGGCATTTCATGTGAAACAACCCAATACATAATATGCTAATATGGGAGTTCATAAGGCCATTATAATATTTTAAACAAATGGGATGGGCAACGCTTTGTTCGAGGTGTGGGTGACTTTCTCGGAACAGTTAGATTGGCCGGGTCTCAGAATTGTAGATCCACATTTCATTAGAGAAGAAAAGAAATGTAATGACTAATGAGCAATGTGTGCAAAAGTAGGTCTTCGAAATAAAGTGGCATGAGCGTCGGTAGCCGCAACAGATTAGGCGTGGTCATGGTGCTTATAACTGTAAGGTCAGGGTTCGAATCCAGCGGCCCTGTATTCAAACCCGTCATACTTACAAATAGGCTTTTTTTTTCAAAAACACCTGCACCCCGAGCATTGATATGACCTCGAAGTTGGAATACGCTCGTAAAAAATATAAAATAATGTAGTCTTCAGATACTGTCTTGAGAGACTCTAGAAATGTAATAGAATGTGACAGTAAGCTGAGTTGTGTGGTCTGAAATAAGAACAAAAACTACAACAATATAATTAACAGGCTAAAAAATGTTATTAGTCCTCTTGTCTGCCTAAACCTGGTCCTCGGCCGACAATAAACAACGGAGTCTGTGCCAACATTTCGCTGAAGCTTGTAGACCGTTGAGGTTTAATTTTGAGCGAAGTCAAATAAATCGAATCCCACACAATAAAAAGTATTTTAAATAAATTTTCTATGTTGGTTAAAATGATAAAAAACACAAGCGTGTCTCGTCAAACTTGATTGGTAAGTTCTTGTTTTGTCTATTGCGAGTTGCTGACATTGGTCATAATTTTAATGAGTGGAGTGGGCGATATGCCCAAATGCATTGGACCGAAACAGCGAAATTAGGCGAGCTTGGATGACTGGCGACGAAAAACTAAACTCGACTGAATGTTTTTTAATTAATTTCTTTTTACTTCATTATATGTGATTCTTGTAAACCTCCTTACGTAAACAATAGCACACTTCACAGAGATCTTCACATACCAACTTTTTTTTCATCCATCCAACAAATTTTTATTTGTTTATTAGTGTGGTCTTACTGTGAAAACATTACTGAAAAAACAGTACAATTTACTGTGAAAACCTTTTTATCATGTTTTGATGGATGAAAAAACAGTGACATGTGAAGATCTCTGTGAAGTGTGCTATTGTTTACGTAAGAAGGTTTACAAGAATCGAACTGTAATCTTTGAGTATTGGAATATTTATCGATAGACTATGTATGTCGAAAGTTTTGATTTTGATTGTAAATTTGGTCGTCGGGTATGTAAAACATTTTCTATTTTTTAAATCGTGCGTGCGGTTTCCATGTTAGTCTTTTATAAAAACAAAATCCTAAATAGTTAACTGTCGGATTGATAACAGGTTCATTGTATAAGCATACTTGGGCAAGTAACACGGCGAAGTGTATAGGTGATGGGTCGAGACGGTTAAGCGTTAAATTTTATTTTTGCTGCTCCATTTTTGAATAGTGAATGAATGTGGTTTTAAATCATAATGGAATGTTGTGTAGAAGAGGGGTGTTAATAGGGCGCGCATCTGAGTATGTGGAGGTAAAAATTATGCACAAGAGCGGAGCAAGTATTGACCCCTGCACGCCTGTAAGCACTTCTTTCACATAGGAGTCTCTGATCTATGTTTAACCGCGAAAAATCTCTCCCTAAGGTTTGATTGTTCATATTATTAGGCGAGAGGTTAAAAACCGTTTCAATTTGTATAACAGCCCGTCATGACATATTAGTCGAAGGCCTGAAAAACATCAAAAAACACTCCACTTGAAGTTGATGATTATTGGAATGATAAGTTAAGAAAACAGAAGACACAATATGATATTGTCAATGACAAAGGTGCTCGAAGAAAGAACGAACAATTGTCCATTTAAACAGGAGAGGATTTGATCTTGTCACCCAATAACTAATACATACCACTCTCGTAAAGATGCAATATGTTCTCAATTTTTTAAAATTTTACTCTTGGTGTTTTTATACATTACATACATTATACTATTTTATATAAATGTTTTTTCAATCTATTTCTGAAGAAACTGGAGCAACCTTTCACTTTAAGGAGGATTTTGCTTCAGCTTAAAGAAAGTTTGCTTCCCTCTTCAATCCGCGTCAAAACATACAATTAAAACTTTTATGGCCGGCCTGAAGTTATTCGAAACTGGAAGGGTACTTGAATTCGACCAACATTGACTATAGGTGAATGATTTACAAGGTCTGAGAAGTAATTGAAATATAATCCGAGGGATAAAAGGCTTTTGAGCCTTAGACCTTTCTATTTTTTATGTACATTTTTTAAAATTTTTATTCTTGTGAAGATTTTGATTCCGCTTAAAGAAAGTTTGCTACCCTGTTCAATCCACATCAAAACATACATAACATATGGCCAGGGTGAACTAATTACAAACTGCAAGGGTACTTAAATTCGTCCATCCAACCAAGATTAGAACCACGGGTTACAAGGATCGTTTTAACGCATAAAATCATTTTTTTACCTTTTCTTAACAATTAAAAAACTTTGTCAGATTATATTAAAATGTATAAACTCACTTTTCCTGATAGCTGAATCGCTTCCAACCGGAGCTCAGCAATTTTCTCCCTTTCCTTCTTTAGCTGCTGTTCGTATGCTTGAGCCTCGGATTGTGCCGTTTGACATACATTTCTCAGGTTCATTATTTCCAATTCGTTGGATGCCGTTTTCTCCGTCATTTTATCAACAGAGGCTTGAAGCAAATTCTTTTCCTGAGAATAAGAAAGACATCATAATCACGAATAATTTTTTATTCTAACTAGTAACAAATTGTCCAGTAGAGTCATCGTATATCGATCATACTTTCTCGCTCGATCCTAGCTGTTTTGGTCTGTTAGGAATGTTTCGGCACTTCAGTCGTGCTTGTTATTTTTCATCTGTCGTGTACCTTGCTAAAGTTGTAAACCCACCCCTAATAAAGTGGTAAACAACCACAGCTAGGAGAGGCGGACCAGGATTATCGTAAACGACCAAACTACAGTTTCATCACAATAAAAGCAATATTTAGACAAAATAAATAAACATATCTCACAATATTAATTTACTTAATACAAGAAACTAAGTTTATTATTATTATTATTATTATTATTATTATTATTATTGATTCAAAATACCTAAGTTAACTAATTAAATTCACTAGTTTCGTGGCCGCTTGACCAGTCAATATCTTACAATCAATTAAGGTTTTCAGTTGAGATAAAAAAGTCAATGCTCGTGCCATTGACTTTTTTATCCCAACTGAAAACCTTAATTGATTGTAAGTTAACTAAATTTGAAATATATCACCTACTTGGAAGTACATAGTTTGATAAATTAGATCAAATAGTTTAAATTAAATTAATGTTTACCATTGTTCATCTGTCTTTACATTACTTTTTTACATAATATGTTATGTCATGGAAAGATTTAATTAAAAGTAAAAATCATACATTCAAATTAAATTAATTTTTAGATGTTTCATCAATTTTTACATTATTTTTTTATATTAATATATTATTAGTCATGGTAAAAAATTATTTAAAAAAATCAAACGTTATTTATTAGAAAAATACCCTTATTTTTTTTAATATATATATTTTATAAATAAAAATATTTAATAATTTGTTGGAGTCGTGAGGAGCGGTCAAGAAAAATTGTTTAATTAATCCATTTATGTTTAGCGGCATAGTTGACTTATTTAATTATTTCATTTAATTATACTTTTTATATAAAGTCTTGGTTGTGATGAAAAAGTTAGTGTCACGTGGGGGATACCCACGACCTTACAAAATATAAGTGGTTACAGGGGAGTAATGAGCAGAAGGTCGTGGGTTCGAATCCCGCTCGTGACACTAACTTTTTCATCTCAACCAACACTTTATATAAAAAACAACTAACTTGCCAACCTCATTTGAAATGTTCACGATATAGCCTGACAAATTTCATATCAACTTCCTCGTTTCAAAAGCTTTCTAGCGGTTTATACTTTTATTTAATCATGTCAAAACAAAAAGCAGAAATTTTATGCTAAATAGGGAAAAGTGGTGATGGAGTGAAAAGAGGGACTGGAGTTATTCTAGTAATTCACCTTTTTGTCCTGGGCAAAATTTATTTCCCGATTTTAACTTAATAAAAAAGGACAGAAAGAAAGGAAAATGAAACAAAACACATAAAAAATAGACAATTAACACAGGGAACTACCTATAACAAATTATGTAAACATGGGCAACATTTAATTTTTATTTATACCTTCTGAATTACTTCAGAATTAATGGAGTGACATTTTAACAACCTTTTGAAATACTCACAGCTTGCAATTTTGAATTGTCCGCCTTCGAGTCGTTTAAGAACTGTTTGATCTGTACCAGTTGGTTAGTCAAGTTTGTAATGATCTCTCGGTCCCCTGTCAAGAAATTTTTGAGGGCACTTATCTGAACATCCATGTTTTCAATCTGAAAAAAAAATCCAGTAATTTTTAACATTTTTTGAAGAAAAAAGATATACCTTTGCTTCAGCTGCGACCAGTTTGTCGTGTTCATCTTTCTGGCGGTCTTTTGCCTTTCTCCACGAGTTCTTCAAGAATCTTGAATAGGATTTTAGCAGCAGGATAGTAGTGCGGTCGTCTTGTGCGTTCATCTTCTGACAGGGATTGCTTATAATCTCAGTCGCCGTGTCTTTACTCCAGTTTTTTCTACATTTTTGATGATGGATGAGTAGTCATTAACGTTTACACTACTATGATGAAAATAATTGAACAAATTCTAACTCTAGAAACGAAATTATTCCAGCATTTTATAAACAAATGATTTTCAATTTTTATTTTTAGATAAATTAGGCCTATAGTTTTTCTTTCTTTTTTAAACAAAATTCATTGTGCAGAAGTAATCAATTTCTTCCCTTCCAACCCCAAATCCCCTCCATGTAGTTACAATTTCGTAGGGGGTGGGAATAGTGAGGTCATGGCAAGGGTGGTCGACATTCACCCCTTCAGTTTACGATCGGACTGGTTCGTGGCAGTACTCTCCTATCTCTTCTAACTACTCTGTCCAAACCGGTAACTGTATCATAGTTTTGTTGACGTCGGACACTAGTTTAGATCTACGGATCGGCGGTTCAATTTTTGGTAAGTATTTTCTACTATTATTGGGTGGTGAAATTTCGGTAAAGTTATTTTTTATGATAGTGGTTTGTGTGAATACTAACTGGCAGGCAACTAATATTTTCGTACGCGTACCTTTAAAACTCTCAATAATAATTATTATTTTAAAAAATGCTTGGTAGTAATATATAAGGTTGAATATTTGAAATTTTGGAATTTTATTTTTGTCCCATGTTTTTTGAAAGTTGGTCTTTATCATTTCAATAAAATGAAATTGCTAGAATTGTTATCTAGTTCACCTGAAACACGGTCGGATTTTATAGTATTCTGGAAAACCGTTTTTTGAAATTTTGTTTAAAAAATACGTACAAGGTTCCCTAGACCTGTTTAGATAAGATCAAAAAAAGTTGAAAGATTCTGTTTTTAAATTTGTACGTGGTTTTCGTCCTCCATTTCGATATTTTGATGGGATGTTAAAGAATCGGCACCAAACGGTTTAAAAGACGATTGAAATTAAAAAGTTCCATTAATCAGAAATGTTAAATTATAAATTGTACTGCATTTCTATGTTAAATTAAAATTATCATAACCATAAAAAAATAAAAGTAAGTGATTCATTAAAAGCAAACCTCCTAAGCGTCAACTTCTTCTGGAAGTCCTGCGAAAGGTTCTGGAGGGAGATGGAACGCTTACATTTGACCTTTTCCTGCCTCCTAGCAATTCTTGGCGAATCGACGAGGGACTTGGCACTGGGAGGTCTTGACGTGATTGAGGGTCTTTGCAAAGCCCTCCTCGCCGTTTGGAACATAGTTTTAGTCTTGGCACCGCCGATGTTATCTCTACGCAGCTCATTCATCTGCCTATGCGACAAAGGCGTGCTTACTTGCCTCCTCATCGGTGTTCTCGTCGACATTTTATTCTCCTTTAATTATTTTCGCTTTTTCAAATGCAAATATTTCAATAACGTAATAAAAGACAAACAATTATAACAGTGTGGCCAGATTGTCTTTTGTTTTTATTTTGTTTTGAGATTTAACGTACCTTCCGGCTTGTTATTTAGTCACATGCACTTTTAATATTTATAAAATCATTATTTTAATTAGTTTTTATTTAGTCTTATAAGAACATACATGTTCTATTGAAGAATTTTTTTTTTAGAATTTTAAAAAAATCGTCAGATTAGACATTATTATCCATTTTAATTATCTTGAAAAAGAAAAGCAAAAATTATACATATATAAGTAGAAAACAATAAATCTATTTTGTTTCTGATAATGGATAAAAATTGACTAAAAAGAAAATTTAACAAAATTACTTTGATTAAAATGTTTGCATAGATTCATAAACATGAGGACTTTACGTCTGATTTTCAGATTGTATGACCGGTTTCCAAAAACTCTCAATGAAATTTTGTAAAAACATATATTTTTATTTTCATAATTCAGTTTTTTTATTATGTAAAAATGTAATATCACAGACTGATAGAAATCGTCTGGCTTGACAAGGCTCTGATGGTGAGGTTGAGAAATCGGGCATCGACGGCGTTTTTTGACAAAAAAATTAATATCATAATCTGTCATTTAGAATTTTTCAGCCTGAAATCACCTACTACGAAGTTTTTCTAAGGAAACAATTTCGTTAAGACGAGATGCGATAAAAAAAAACCCATCAATTTTCTATTTGCATTCATCATTCAATTTCTGTTGCATAATCTGCAATTCAGCACATTACATTTCAATTGATGGAAATCATGCGCAGGCTTAAAATTGGAGTCTTTTTTAGTTGGACCTGAGAGGCAAAGTGGTGTTTTAGTAGAAATTTTATAAAGGGAATTTTTTCAAATAGAATTTAATATCATTATCATTACCGTCGATTAAGCATATCATTGACAGATGATCATGCGCCGGCTTGAAATGGTCTTCATTCGGTGAGGCTGTGACCGAAAACTGGTGTTTTGTTAAGCGAGATTTGATATGAAAAAAAGAAAAATATATTGAAAAACACAAAATCGGATTACCTAGCCCTTCTGTGGTATAGGAATCCACCCTATCAATTCACACTCCAGACAAAAGGATAAAAGGAAATGAGGGAACAATGGAACTCACTCATCGAACACAAAAAAACCTTCTAACAAACTTTGCAAGGAAAGGGGTAACATAATGCAATAAAGGAACAGGAAAAACTGCGAATCCTGATAGGATTCTTAACAGGACACTGCAAACTAAATGGACATCTGAAACTAACTAACCCAACAACACAAGTGCAAATTCTGCTAAGCAGAGGAAAACACCAACACAACAACTAACATTATGGCACTACACTTGCGCGCAGGAGGACGTGTTTTGGGACGTACAATGTGACTATAGAAGAAATTCAACCACTGAAACCGGGCATACCAATCAAGTTCCTTGATGACCTAGGACTCACCGGTGTGCTATAAGTACAGAAGTTGGATACAACATCTCTTAAAGCCTATTAAAGGGCGCAATCTACAAACCCCGACTAATACGTCATCTACATCATAATCATATATTAAGCATATCATAATCTAATTGATAGATCATTCGTAGGCTTGAAATAGGAGTCTTTTTTTTCGGTGACTCTGGATCTGAGAGGCACTGTGGTGTTTTTTAGGAGAAATTTGATAATTTTAAATGGAATTTAGTATCATTATCATTATCGGCTATTAAGCATATCATATCCCAGTTGATGGATGATGATGCGCTGCCTTGAAAAATGCTGAGCCGAATTTTGCCAAAAAATGATCTGTCATTTTTTCTCTCTTCTTTATTTATTTACCCTACGTTAATTGTTGCGCTTATGTAAATTTGATAGCATTTTACAGCGTAATACAAAACAAAGTACACACAAGTATAAATAAAACAGAAAAAAGTGGAATTACTCTTTACTAGATGACTATATAGGAGTGATCACAAATATCAACAGTAATCACATTCAGGAGGATGAAAGGTTTCTGACATGAGGGTTTGTGTAACTGGACAATTGTTGGTGAAATTTCTTGTAGCGGGCTCTCACTTCTTCATTACAAATTGGATGTTAAGGTCATTGTAATTGGTAAGATTGGATATATTGAAAGGAGCATTGACGATGGTTCGAAGGATCTGTGATTGTAGGGATTAGATACGTTGGGGGTTGTAACGTTTTGTTACCCTAATTTCGATGCCGTATGTCCAAATGGGTCCCAAAATAGTTATATAAATGAGACGTTTATTTTGTAAAGTCAGTTTTGACCGTTTATCCAGCAATCTTTCGAGAAGTCTGAATCGTCTGTTTAGCTCTAGTCTTTTGAGTCGTTTGTCGATGTATAGCCCAAGTGTGTGGTGTTTAGTTCAGCCCAAGGTAGCGGACTGCATTAACTGTTGGGAAAGGGATACTATTGTAATAGATGGGAGCAATTGGAGAGCGGTAGAATCAGAGGTGTGACAGGACTATTAACCGGTCACTAGCATCTGAGGAAACATCTACACAACATGGGCATATATAACGATGATCCCATCTGCCGATTTTGTAATGAGGAGGAAGAAACAGCTACTCGTATCATTTTTGAATGGGAAGCAACGGCTCAATTGAGACAACCTAGCATATAGAAAACAACCTAGGGAATGAAATTGTAGCAGTGATCTGGTACTTCTAAGAAGGAATGATTCTATTGCCCTGAACTAGGGATATAGGAAGCAATAAGACAGAAGGCTGCAGAGCCTGGGGAGCACAAACCCCGCTTCCTAGTAGCATCTTTACCATTACCATATTACCAATAGATGGAAACGGTGATTCTCCGAAGAGTGAAAGTGACATGCTCACATTATTGTATGTTTATTGTCATCTGTGAACCACTGCTCAAGGGATGTGGCAAGGCTTTGTAGGTTTCTGGATGAAATGACAATGTCTTTAAGGGACTTTCTTTAAGGTTGGTGGTATCATCCGCATAGGTAATACGGATCGTTTCTAGAAGAGTAGTAGTAGTAGTCTGCGGAATATACGATTATGTCGGTATATACAAAATCTCTTGTAGATGGGTTATAAGAAACTTGTGGTACCCCTGAGTTTTAGGATCAGATAGGAGGTAAAATTGAGAACTTTGTGCGTCCAGAGAAGCCGCGAGTGCCCGACTGAAGGCTCTGTCATTCAAAATTGTAGTTTGCAACCGCAGTCTCGTAGAAACTCTGAAGTTTTGCAAAGTTTTTTTTTGCGATAATATTTTATAGACATCTTTTTTTGTTTCTTGTTCACATTGTTTCTTTTTAACTTGTCGGTACTTAAAGATTTCACAGTCCATTTACTCGACTGGAGAATGTGTTGTTCCTTGAATGCTGAAGTGGCCGAACACGCGAGCGGCTCGTGGGCGAAATTCGAAAAAATGGCGGAACTGCGCAGTGCATGTCGGTCGGCCAATCAACGGCCGGTTTATTTCAGTGGTCTTTTGCAGACCACTTTCCAGAAATAATCTGCCTTTTTCAGTCGTTTAACGGGAGACTGGAGAGTAGGAGTGTGTTGCTTCAGGGATCCGCCTCGGACTCGAAACCGGGCAGAAACTGATTTAAAAAAAAACTTCTACTACATATTTACAAAAAATATTTTTATCGTATTTACGTACAACTGTGTTCTCGAGTGTGATTTTCGAAAGTCCTTGAACATCCAAACGGGACTGGGTTAAAAAAAAAAAAAAAAATTATCCTGTCGTGGTGATCATGGAAAACATAAAGGTGAGTCTGGACAATTTATCCGAGTGTCATCCGCGCTTCTTCGGAAGCGGTGTCGTGTGTGTCTACTTGTTGCTTCTCGTTCCACCGACCGCTCTCGGAAGGGCGAGTCGATCCGACGACTTTCTTTCTGTACCCAAACGGCATTCATTCTACGTTTCGACTTTTTTCACCTTTCGACACGGTCAAATACTTACCCGACCACTTTTTATCGGAAGTCGAAAATTATTCGAAGAGCCCTGGAATTTCAGACTATTTATAGTACATCTGAGGTTTCAGCTACCTCGGTGACATCCCTTTCTATTTATAAGAGATTGTTTCATTACGGCATTTCTAGATTTAAACAAAAACTAGTACTCAAAAAAATAAACATTATAAGACGACGCTTTTTACATACAAACCTAACAGTTTTAATCCATTTTTTATACAATAGAGTTAAGTTTTTGTTGCTGCCAAATTGTTTACTGAAGTCTGAGCTTATATCCCGACAAGGCAAGACAAGAATTTAGCCACATGCGATCGTCTGGTAATCTTGTGTTGCTAATGAATCGAGGCTGAAAACCAACCTAAAATCAAAAATAATAAACCCTCATAAAAAAAGGGCCCATTTGCTGTTTTTTCATGAAAAATTAGCTTTCAGTTGTACCATTTTTTTCTTTAATAGAAAATCGATCAACCTCAACGGTTTACATTGTTCCTTAACACTCATAAATCACCAAATTTTAGTGGCCAGTCGTGGAATCAACTAGGAGGTAAGCCCAGAGTCCCAACACACCCCCGGGCACTCCTCTTTACTCCAAAATTTATCATCTTTGTATTTACTTGCTGTTACACAGATCATCTTAGGGATGTGCTTGCTACTGCCAACATCCTTACTCCTCCAGATCTGGGTGTGTGACCCAAGGCTCCCAGGGAGGTGTGCACCCGCACCCCAAGAAGCTCAATCCACACCATACCCCGCTGGCTAGAGTAATCTAGATGTTGAGCAATAATCCTTACAAGGTTTTTTTTCCCAACCTGGAAGGACCGAGTAAAATAAGGTTTTTGTTAAGTTCATGTATAGGAAATTAATACCTAAAACGGTTAAAAATTAGACAATTAGGGCATTTTTGATGTCGGAATGAAAATATTGGCTTATAAGAAGGGAAACAGATTGTCTATATTGGAGGGTTTGTCCCCAAGAATCTCGTTGTTTTCTGGCCTGGTTGAATTTAACACGATACCTGATTACATGCCTTATTGTCGCCACCAACTTCCCACACGTTTCGCAAAGAGAAAGCGATTCTCCAACCATAAGATACCCATGGGTGAGCCTGCAGTGCCCTATTAGCTGAGTGAATATTGTTTCTTCCTGTTTTGTTGAAACAAACAAAATAGTAAAAACTATAAAGTTGCAAAACTAAAAGTAAAGGTACTCCTAATTATACAAATTAGAGCATATTCCCAGATTGTTTGATTTCTTAAAATTTATTATTATAATAATAAGATGCTTTATTTAAGAAGGATTTTGAATAAAAGAACTTACGGCTTGGATATCCGTCAGCCGGAGAGTGATACATAGTTGTGCTACAATAATAATAATAAATAAAAAGAATACAGAAGAAAACGAACATAAAGATAGCAACCAATTACATTATAATTTTACTTTTAATTAACAATTAAGTTGTGTTGCATTCAAATATTGAAAAAATAGTTAAACCAAAAACATATAGCATAAAATAATGTTTAATATGATCAACAATAATATAACATAAGATAAAAATTAATACTTAAATTCATTAACTAAATAATATCTGTAACGCCAAGCAGAGCAAGCATAATTTAAACTGTCTGCAGTGTTTAGCATTTCTTTTAATTTTGTTTCTGTAAAAGAATGGACACCAAGTTGTCGCATTTTGAATTCTAACATCGGTCATACAGCTAAAAAATGAACCCTACTTTTCAACTCATAGGGTGAAATTTAGGTAAAGTAATTCACCCCTCTTTTTATTTAAATAGCCGACACTGATCCCTCAAGTTAATCGGCAGTTCAGTTCATGAAGCAGTTGTGGCCGAGTGGTTAAACTTATTATACATAAGCAGGAAAGCAGGGATTATTTAGAACAAAGACGATGCAGGGAAGCTTCCATATTTGATCACCTGTTTTCAATGTAGGAATATCGACCAGTTATTAACTCACAAACCCTCTGGATCAAGGTATGGTCTTGAAGAAGAAAGCAGATTTATTTGTTACTGCCAAGCTTTCGACCTATTTTAAGGTCATCATCAGGGCAAAACAACCTTAAATATGTCCACAGGTTGACATATTTAAATTTGTTCTAATGCAGTCTCAAATTTCCTTGAAGACCAACTCATTCCCAACATTACCATGACAAAAAGAAAGCACCGATAGCAAGATATTGAAAAATCATTATTACTAATATAAGATATGTGTATATAAATTTAAATTATTGTTTTATTTGCTTTGTTTGAGAAACTGTTTTTTGTTTCTAAGGACGGGGTAAATAATTAAAAAAAGAAATAAGGCCGAAGATTAAAATCATGTATGGAAGTTATCTAGGAAACAATTTAGGTTTGTATAAGAGGGTTTCGTTTGAGTTTCTTTTGCTTTACATTTAACCCAAAGAGAATATGACCAAATGATCATTGCCTTAGAAGGATTTTTATTAACTTGTTTCTACATAAAATTAAATTAGACTTCTTATTGTTTGCTTTGTGTAATTTGAAAAAAAAATTAATAATTACGGTATTAATGGAAAACAAGCTACTTAGCTCATTTCATATCTGATAATCATAAGAGGGCTAGATTAATACAAGGCCGCAAAAATTTTGTGTTGTGGAATTTCCATCTGATTAATGTTATTAAAATGCTTAACAGCATGTTTGCTTCCTTTGAATTAAGGCTGTGAGTAGAAAAACACAACAGGTGGAAAGAAAATGTTTTTTTCTTACAGTGAGATTATTTTTACAGTGTAAAGTGGTTGATATTGATCAAAATGTCCAATTAATATTTTAACCTAATACTATATGTAATACTACATGTTTATTATAGGAAATTTTATTTGGTTTTTGTTGGGTTTTTTTCAACTTAATGTTTGCACCAATTGTACATGAATAATATGCACAAATAGTTTTGTGTTCTAACATCATCTAGCTTGGGCGTTTCAACTAATAAAAATATCTGTTAGACGTGTTTATTACATATTTCATATATTGCTTTTCTATTATTGTGGCTGTTGGGATTGTGATGTGTTGTATTGGGGTTTACAGAATCGTATGACTATAATCTAAGCAGTATGGAGGGACATTTCGAAGAGAACAACTCTGCAATAAATATTAGTGATGTCAGTAAGTATGAACTGAAATCCTCCATCACAACAGAGCTAGTAAAAAGAATATCTGTTTTTTGGCTTTGCATGCATTTATACATATAAATATATTTTTCATTTGAAAGTTGTTCGGATAAAAACTGTTCCTGAATATTTAGTAACCAACAAACTTTATTCTGTCATTATCTTTTATTTTGTAAACTTCTCACTTCCCATTCACTTTTTTGTTTGGTATTTTATAGATAACCTTTGTAAACTACTGTTTTTGTAACAGAACATACATTGGTATTAATTATTTAGAGATTGTGAGATGCAGTCTAGTGTGATGTAGGTTTAGAAAAACATTTTCTTTATCATGCCAACGTTTCGATCTTCATTGGGATCATCCTCAGGGCATGGGATTTATAAACATTGTTTAAATTATACAGTATAATTTAAAATCCCAGGCCCTGAAGATGATCTCAATAAAGATCGAAATTTTGGCAAGATAAAAAAAATGTTTTTCTTACCGCATCTCACAATCATTATAATAGTAAGTAATTAAGTAATAATAAGTAAGTAATCATAATTAAGTAATCATTACATAATGGTCACTAAATATTAGACAGGTATTGTTTACATTTCACATTTGTTTATAATGCATGTTCCAACATATACTGTTTGGTACACTTCGACCTATCAATACAAAATAGAATGTTACTATGCATTATAAATGAAACATAAATAAATTGCTGATTGCGCTGGCTTTGTAGGCAAGGTCAGAGCTTTGGTAATTGTAGGAGTAGTTAGAAGTATAATGGAATGTCGAATATTTGCATGTGTTATTCAGTATATGCTTATAGTGAGATTAATTATATATACAAAACAGTTGCACTGGTATAGGATCACATAACTCAGCTAACATTGCTATTTTGTCTATAATGTGTATAGTTTAGATAGTTTATTTTCATTACCATTCAGTTTCTACATGCACTGTAATGAAATTTAAAAACATAACTGATTATTTTGCCTATGTATGCCTGCTTCTTTAATGGGGAGATTGAATTTTATATTTATTTTTATCAAATCATAAAAATGTTTATGATGTAAAAATCCATGATTATGGTTGTTATTGCTTTAATTTCATACAATTTTTTCTGTTTCGTTGACTGATTGATTTTATTTATTCACAGTTGAAGTGATTGAAACAGACCCAGCATTTGGGTCAATGGACGGAACAAGAAGAGGTCCAACGGAGGGAGCCACTAGCTTGGCATACATTAACATCATCGAACAGCCTGCTTCCAAGGCCCTCAGATTTCGCTATGAGTGCGAAGGCCGCTCTGCTGGGAGCATCCCTGGTGTCAACTCGACAACGGAGAACAAGACATTCCCCACAGTACAGATTGTCGGTTACAAGGGACGGGCTGTTGTTGTAGTGTCGTGTGTAACAAAGGACCAACCATACAAGCCTCATCCACATAACCTCGTAGGCAAAGAGAGCTGTAAAAAAGGCGTCTGTACTGTCGAAGTTAACAATGACAACATGATCGTTTCTTTTGCAAATCTTGGTATACAGTGTGTAAAGAAGAAGGACATCGAGGAAGCGCTTAAGATCCGAGAGGAAATCAGGGTCGATCCATTTAGAAGTAAGTTTATCAACTTAATTTCTTAAAATTTGAGTTTTTGTTATTTTTTATGAGCGTGTTTTCTAATCTTTTTATATAATGCGTTATGAATATTAAGTATGACCTAAGTTTTTTAGAGTAGCTTTCTTGGTATCCAAAATTCAATTTAATTTAAAATAAAAAACGAGACTATTCAGATAATCTGTACTAGCAGTATAAAGAAGGAAAGTTTATTTGTATGTAACAAGTAATCTCAAAACCTACTGGTCCAATTTTGATGTAATTTTTTTAGACGTGTTCCTTATGAACATAGGAAGGACATAGATGCAGTTTTGCCATGTTATATTTTCATAAATTTTCTTCAAGTTAATAAAAAAATTAACTTAATACTTTTAAGGAGCTAAATATTGATCAAAATATAGGTTGCTGTTTCTATTTATATATTCTCTTAATGTATGATATAAATCCATATACGTTTGGTGGTCATAATTGCTCATATTAATTATTTCAATTAATTTCTGTACAAATAACAGTTTTGGAAATTAATTATTCAAATTTTCATATTACCTGAGCGAAGCTAGTAATAATATGCTTGTTGTTCTTAGAAGGTTTAATTAAATTATTATTTAATTAAATTTAACTTTCAAAAACATGTCTATCAGCCGTGTTCTAGAAATTTTTTGAAATTGCAGTAATGATTTTTATTGTTTTTTATAGCTGGTTTTGGCCACAAAACACAGGCCAGCAGTATCGACTTGAATGCTGTCAGACTGTGTTTCCAAGCATTTATCGAAGGTCCCCAACGAGGAAGATTCACTGTCCCATTAAAACCTGTTGTTTCTGAGCCAATTTATGACAAAAGTGAGTTTTCTGTTTTTTGGTTAATAGAACCGACCACACTAATACAAATCCCTTTTGTAGAAGCCATGGCAGATCTCATCATTTGTAAATTAAGCCATTGTTCTGCTTCAGTAGCTGGAGGAAAAGAAATAATCCTGCTCTGTGAAAAAGTAGCAAAAGGTAATAAATATTCTATCTGTAAGATAATTAGTTTTGATAATAGTATTAATGTTCTTAGCTACTTCATTATTTTAAACATCAATTTAATTTCTAATTTTCTGTCTTTCTAGACTTTACAAAACAAAAATTATTTATGTGAATTGTAAATATTTTGTTTTAGAGGACATAAGTGTGAGGTTTTATGAAGAAAATGATGGGGTGGTTGTGTGGGAAGGGCTAGGTGATTTTACTCCTACTCAAGTTCATAAACAAGTAGCTATAGCTTTTAGAACCCCACGGTACAGAACATTAGAGGTAAGTTATCCTTTAAAACCATTACCGATTTAAATTTAAAAAACAACATTTTGTTCCCAGATTGACCAGCCGGTACAAGCTCTAATTCAACTGAGGAGGCCATCGGATAATGCACTCAGCGACCCTCTTCCATTTTTAATAACACCACTAGACTCAGGTAGGCCTTTCCTATGGTCCTTAAGACGCAGTATCGGCCAAAAAGCTGACTACAATACTTTTTCAAACATTCTCCAAACAAGCTCAAAGTTAAAAAGAGACCAGTTGAAAGAAGATTCAAATAACAATAGACAATCTGATATAGTATCTGAGCCAGTTACAGTGGCTAATGTCCCCCAGCCTAAAGTTGTGCTTGTTAATGAAATTGAAAAAGATGACAATTTAGAAATGGATCAAGATCTAGAACAGTTATTAGTAAAAGATTTGATATGTGATAACAACAATGAAAATGAATTGGGCGTTTACACAAGTATGCAGATGGCGATGAAAAATCCTTGTGATATCATGGAAACAAATCAACGATATGAAGATATCGTCCCTCCAAGGCCGACTGCCGCCAAACCAGTATTGACAAGAAAAGAGAACACAGTCAATCAGTATAATGAGGATACCGTTCCTCCTCTTCCCCCAAAACGTGTCAAAAAGAATGATTCCAAAACTGTAACGCCAGCACCAAAAAAACAGAGCCTCTTTAAAAAATTGTTCTCTACGAACAAGAGGAAAAAAAAATCTGAGGTGAATCTCTCTTCAAGAGGGAGTATCCGATCCCTTCCCGCTAATTTTGTCGAAAAAGAGCCAGAGATTGATGTTACTGAGGCAGAACACTATGCTCTTTATACTTCCGTTGCTCCCCATGCAACTGCATCAGAATTCGATGAAATGTCATTTTATTACAGCTCAGTTGATGCACAAAAAGTTTCAACTTAAACTTATTTATAAATGATTGGATGCATTTCTTGAAATTAACATTATGTAAATAGTTTTAAAAGGAGAGTTAATGTTTGTTTTCATCGGTTGAGTTTTCAAAGGTTTAATGTAAATGTTAAGACTGCAGTTGGTTTTAATTTTGTTTTTTTATTCAGAGTGATTTTTGATTACCTGTTGAAGTTACCATTTCTCTTTTTATTTATTCAATATTTTCATATTTTATTTATACAATTTATTATCATTTTAGACCCAGCAATGTTAAAAAGGAAAAGGCAAAAGTTTAACACCGAATCAGATATGAGTGAGTTATTCTTTTATATTAAAATGTTAACTTGGAAATATTAAGGTGATGGGTCATTGGCATTTATATATACATATTCAAATTGTATAATACAAATTAATTTGTGTTTTGATAAGCATGACAAATGGGCAGCAATTGCATGCTGGTGAAGGAATTATAATGGGTAATTTTTGTAAATGTGCTTTATCAGGCAAATATTTTGTTCTTTCATACTATTTGTATATTTCCAAATGACACTCATCTCTGGTAATTTTTATATGTCGCGTGTGTACATGGAAGTACAAAGCAAATGTGTTTCTATGTCTCATTGTACCGCTTCTGTTTTAGAAACTACTGTATTTTGTGATAAATTTTGTATAAATTTGAACATATTTTATGCAAAGGCATTTTTAGAAATACAACTATTTAACAAAAAAAATTAAAAATATTTGTCTTCTTTATGGTATTCACAAACAAGAATAGCTTCTTGAAAAATACAGACCTCGTATATGTATTGTCTCATAATGCTATCATAAATCTGGGAAAAATTAATATGCCAAATTTTTTATTGGTCTAATGCCAGGTAAACAAAAAAGTTAGTACAGTTGTTCAATTGTTATTGTTTTAATACAGTTAATTAATTTCTATATCATAGTAGGATAGGTGTTTACATCATGTAGTGCAAAGAGGGTATTGCATCAGTTGATTAAGAAAAAGTTCCAGAACAGTTCACTGTAAATTGTGAAATGGCTTCAAAACCATAATTCATGAATGTTCAAAATAATAATAATAATAAAATGCAAAAAATTAAATGTAAGCACATTGCCCAAAAGTGATTCTAAAAGTTTGTTGGATCAATGGATTCAAGGCGAATCAAGGCCTGGTAGACTTTCTATCTTGAATTATGACCAATTGAGAGAAGCTTTCAAATTTTATGTGAGTCAAACAGTCAGGAGCTCAACAGAGTGTCAGTATAAGCGATGAAACCATTCGCTCTACCTTACATTGACTTGGGAAGACATCGAAGCTGAGCAAATGGATTCCTCATAAATTCACACTTGCAAAGCATTGGCTTTTTTGACCGGATTGTCACTTGAAACGAAAAATGGATCCTGTACAGGTAACAGCAGGTCATAATGGCCCTGTCCAATTGAATCAAAAACAGTTGGTGGAGCACATTTCGAAAAACTACTTTTGGGCAGTGTGCTAACTTGTTTGTTCATCGCTGAACTCAGTGCAAAATTTTATGAGCTGCCTCAGCCTTCCTAATGCCTAACAAAAATTAATACAATAAGCATGCATGAATTACGGGTTTTGAAGCCTGGAGAAAGAAAATAGTTTATAATTTACAGTGAACTGTTCAACTTTTTCTTCATGAACTGACACATTTTCTCTCACCTCTTGGTATTATATGATGTAAACTTGGATTACCACCTATATAAATAGCAATATTAATTATCGGTATTAAAATAAAAACAAATAAACAACTGCACTAACTTTTCTGGTTACGTGATAACTTGAAATAAGAAAGTCAAGAAGCTGCTCTTTTCCCTTTTCCTTCCTTTTTTTCTTGAATAGGGATTTCTTAGAGATAGATTAATAATGTAAAGCTAGAAAAAAAGTTTAATTTGGAATTTGAGAAGAAAAATATGATTCAGGTGTTCTCTGAGTGATTCAGAGCAACTGCCCAAAGCTAACTAGTGTATATGTGTAGGTAAGTCATATTAATTGGCACAGAATTGTTTTGCAGTTTTTTTATAGTTGCATTAAAAGAAAGTCAACTAATTAACTTTTTGTTACTCCTTTGTTTCTATTTGTTCAGTTCATTGTTTTACAGTTGTAGTTATATTTTATTTTTGTTATATTATGGTAATGTAAAAAAAATGCATGACAAGTAAAAGGAAAATACTTTTTTATTTCACTTTATGATGATGCTTTATTTCTAAATGTGATATTTTTACTTTTTATCAACATATAATTATTGCATGTGTGTTATTTTTTGCATGTTGTGCACTTGACATGCAGTACAAACGTTTGCAACTTATTTTTTTATTTTATTTTAGCAATTCATGTTCCTGACAACATACCACCGGTCTCTGTGCAAACACTCCCTGTCAAGTGTGAACCCGTCGGTTTGTATTCAATGTTTTTCTTAAATAAATATTGTTTGTCCCTTCTTGAATAAAATCCGATCCATACCATTTTTTTTTTTTTTTTTTAATCACATTATTTATGTGTAAAGATATAAATGTTGTTTATTGTATTTTTATGTGTATGTCCAAGTAAATAAAACCTTATTAATATATCTCATTGGTCTCTCGCAAGTTAATATATGGAGCTTGATGAAATAATCAAACAAGTTTTCAAGATCCATCTCCTCTCATCCTCAGCAATCTATTCAGTGAGAGTTTGGAATGGCGTTCTCAAAAATATAACAATAATAAATATTTTTTGTTCATCAAGCTCCACATTTTTAATAAATAAATAACCAAAAAGAAACAGTAAATAAAATTTTTTCATCGATGTTCGCAATATCTTTTGCTATAAATAACTATTAATCTTAGGTCCTTATTAAAGTTGAAAATAAGCAATTAAATTGACATATGTACTTGGCAAATTTAAAAACAATATTACATTTTGTTTAGATACAAGTCCCAACCCCTACATGAGGTATAGTGCAGTGAACAATTCGCTTTCTCCACTGTACACATCTAGCACACCATCCCCCCTCGAGTACAGCGGAACTGTAAATAGCTCACCTGCCCGACCTACGTCAGTGCCTACCAGGGTCGTGTACCAGCAGAACGTTTTTGTTTCCCCTGCGGGAGGAGTCGGGGGAAGCACATACCAACAATATATGCCAGGGACGTCATCAAATGTGATGCAGGCACCGAATACAACCGAAATACTCGATATGGACACTCAGCAGTACAATGTCGAGTTAAACTTTGAAAGGCTTAACTCTAAGGATCTTGCAGAGTTAAACGTTCTTGATGCTGGAAACCTCTCAGCCAACCTTTCTGCAAACCTGTCTCTTAACGATGCCAATGCTCAATCCGATATGAATATGTCTGATAGCATCACAACAATTGCGAACCAGGCATACAAAGAATTTTTTAGTTCAACTGACAACCCATAATGCTCATTTTTGGTTACCATGCTTATACCATACTTTTTTATGTGCAATTTATTTCTTAGTACAAATGTGCTGTGTGCCAACGACAATAATATGCGTATGAATTATCATAATTGTAGTATATGAATCTCTTGTGTCATTTCAAATATACATCACACAAATTTGCTTAAATATCAGCCCATGTAGTCTAGTTTTTCTAAATTTTATATTTCTTGTTAAATTAAAGGTAAATGTATAAGGTTATGTAATGGTTTGGTTAAATTTTAAGAATTAAAGTGTATATATAACAATATAAACAAAAACGGTATTTGTAAACAGAAATATTGTTTTGTAAATAAGAGTTTATAGCCTTTCCAGTATTTATTCGCTATAGATCTGACAAGATATTCTTGCAAACATTTTTCTTACCAAAAAATACATTGTATATAAATTTCTTTTGAGCATATAATCACATCAATGTTTAAACAATAGCAGTTCATGAAAATTAAGCCACAAACCTATATTAAAATTTCTCTGAAAGAAAGGTAATTGTTATTTTTAATGTAAGAAGAATAAAATCTTGATGAAAATGTTTAATTTATTTCTTGTTTTGGTTTTCAATGCAAATAAACAAACCATTCTGGACAATCAACAACACTGTGCTGCTATCATCATACAATATGGATTAAGAGTAGAAAGTCTTTTCTTTTAAGAAACTTCATTTATTAACCCAAACTTTATTTGTATACAAGAAAATTTTTAAAAGGATTTATTTTATAGTTTTTAACAAAATCTGCAATAATTATGCACATAATACTAATGGTAGTAGCTTGGTCATCTGTGATCATCTTGTCCGTCTCTTTTTCTCTGATTTTGTCTGTCAATTAAAATGTCTAATTGCATCAGCCCAAACAAGTTAGTGATAGACATACAGTACAGGTGATCAAACATAATCAGCACAACGTTTATTTCTATGATCCTCAATTGCTCGATTAAAAATGTGCTTCCTGTTTGCTTTAATCTATGTATCTCTTTGTTTAAACCAAAACAGTAATATTTTTCAGGTCATAACAACTTGTCTTTAAAATTGGCGATTTGTTAGTTGCCCATTTGAAAGCGAATTTAATGAACTATTTTCATTAATAATTTATTTTGCAAATTGACGGCATTTTTCAATCTATTCCATATCATTTTATGACAGGAAATACTTCCTTTTTTAAGAAAAAGTAAAATAATTCATATCGTACACAAGGGTTTAACGTCCAACTAGCCGCTGTGTATATCGGGCAAGGGGTGAAAAGTCGAACCAAAAATACTTTTATTACTCTCAATTAAGAAGCCTTGGGCCACACTGGAATTCGAACCTAGGACTGCTAGAGTGGCAAATAAAAGTCCTAAGCTCTAACCACTTGACTACTGTGATCCACTAATATATAATTATAATAAAATTATTTTAATAAATACATACTTTTATTAAGATCTTTCTCATAATCCAAAATTATTATTATTTTTATTTTATATGATATTAAACAATCATGTGGTGAAGTTAAATTTTATTACTAAAACGTAATTTATAATATATTGAAGTAAATCATTAAAAAAAATATTTTATTAAATAACTTTTATATAGTAATGAAAGAAAATAATTTTAAGATATTTTGAAAGGTTTTGTTAATTTTCTTGATAGGCAAATTTAATGAGATTGATGTAGTTTAATATGCTTTCTTAATTATGTTACAATCAGCATATTTAGTAAGTTGTGTGTTAAGCATATCCTATGAGATCTTATCTTGAACTGTCATTCCATGTAGACAAGGAATATATAATCTCTTTAACATTATTTATATTTAAGTGGTATACAACTTGTAAACAAAACTTATCCAACTCATAATAACACTCAGTAGAAAAATAAAACTAATTTTTACTAATAAATAAATTAATTAATAGTATCTAAATTAATGTACAAATCGAGAAGAATTAAAAATGCGATAACAGTCTGCCTTAAGACAATATGGTTGTTAACGCTAAACCTGACATCAGTGCCTCGGTGAATTAAATTGTTCAATTTTGTTTCTTACATATATTCGGTTCATATATACGCATAAAAATGCAGTGGCAACTAAGAAACCAATTAAAGCGGCAATAAATAAGGAAAACAGTTCAGCTTCAGCCTTCTGAAGAGATAGGACGTGAAGAATTAATTTTTCTTCTGCTGACGTAGCACCATCAGATGAAACAGACTTCATACCAAAGTGGTATACCACGCCATCTTCAAGATATCCAACTGGGAAAAAATCTGTTATTGATTTTAACATTATTTTATAAGGTAGACATACTTAATAGACTGGTCTCTTTAGTGATATATTGGGAGTTTGGGAAAGAATCATCATTACTCATTTTCACAACTTCATAGTGATCCAAGTTCTGCAACCCGTCTAAAGGTGGTTCCCAAACCAAAGTGTAGCCATCAAGCCCCATTGTCACCATCACATTTCTTGGAGGTCCAATTATTTCATGGCCACCTATAATAATTACAAATTGAGAAAATAATAATAAATTTAATTTCAAATTTTTCATCAATCACTAATTAATCCATATAAATATACATAATGCTTTTTAATTGACAATTACATTAGAAATAATCTTGAGCAAAGAATGAGATTACTAATAATTGTATATATACAAGGAAATTATTTGAATTTTAAATTTTGTATTTCTCATTGTGAAAAATTATCTATACTTTCGATGAATCCATTTCTTGGTTGTGTTGAGGTAACCCAACCTTGATCCCATCACATCTAAAAACTTTCACCCATAATTCGTGTGTGCTTATTGCATGAACTTAAGTTTGGTACTAAGGTGGCTGAACCCATAAAATTTATACTGGATTCAATGATGACGGTCAATAATGGTGTGACGTAGGTTTTAGAAAAACATTATCTTTATCATGCCAACATTTTGATCTTTATTGAGATCATCTTCAGGGCCTGGGATTTACAAACATTTTTTAAATTTAACGAATAAGTGGAAAAAAAATGAATTTTTACAATGCAAAAAAAAGAAGATCTGAATAAAGATCGAAACGTTGACACGATAAAGAAAATGTTTTTCTAAAACCTACGTCACACCAGACCGCATCTCACGATCTCCGAATAATCATTGACTAATGGTCACTAACTACCACACATTTCTTTTTTTTAAGTTCATTTAATTAATACATTAAATTCTATCACACATTTTAATTCATATAATTGTATTTGTAGATTAATTTTTCTGTTTTAATTATAATATTACTGGATAGTAGCAATGCTAAGTAGTCAGATAATAAGTGCTACACTTGACTATACAAAGAGCACCTACCCAAGGATGCCACCAAGGATAGGTACTATCACCACTTCTTGATTGCCATTTATGCATACTGACCCCACTATAGCAATAGAAACTCCACCGCCCTTCCACCCATGCATATTTATGTATAAAAGGTGGCTTTTGAGAGTGCCAACAAATTCCTGAGATCAAAAAATATAGCCAGATCTAAGAGGAGCCACCACATAATTCTGGAGAGAATTAAAATAAATGCTTTTTAAAAAGATAGTTTCTTCTCACAGTAAGTTGTTTTGCAACTTAGTTGCAAGTTGCAAAACCACTTACTGTGAGGAGGAACTATCTTTTTAAAAAGGATTGAACACTGCACTCACTCCATCATCCATTATTTCAGTTAAAATAAATGAGTTAGCTATTACTGTATCTAACAAAATGGGAGAAAAACTCAACTTTGATAGACCCTTCCAAGGATCATATATAAAAGAGTCTTTTGGAAGAAAGGTAGCCCCAAGTTTCAGGAAGGGGCTCTAAAATGGTACACATCAAAGATGGAACAAGGAGTAGGTGTAGGGGTAAAAGGGCCTAAATATACCTTAGCAAAGCCCCTTGGACAAATCCCAACAATTTTCCAAGTTGAGGTCTATCCAATACAACTCTGTGCCCAAGAGATAAAGAAAAATATGAAACTTACTTTAAAATTTACTTACTCTCAGACAGTCAGGTACCTAAAAAGACACGCATGAAAGTGTAGAAGAAAAAGAACAGGTTGACCAACTAGCCAAAAAACAGGTAGCCCTCTCACCTAGAGACCAGAATCGCAACTAGGTGCATCAGAGTATGTGTTTAAATTGAAACTGGAAAAATGGCTTGAGAAAGAAAAACTCAAACACTGGACAAAAGCATCAGGCAAGCAATTTATAAATCCCTCAAAAAGTTAGACAAAGGAACTCCTCTCTCAGCAGGCAGGGTTTGAGGAAAATTATAGGCCCCTATACCGGCCACTGCCCTCTTAACTATCGTCTAAAGAAGGGCAGAGCAGAGACAGAAACGGGTTGACACTGTCAGGAAGAGGCTAAGATTAGCGCATATCTTTGTAAATGTGAAGCTTTAGCCTGATTACAGTACAGCCACTTCAGTAAGACAATTCTCACAACAAAAAGGTGCACGAAAAGGCACCAAGGAAATGCTTAGTCTTATAGGAAAAAATATATGTATGTATTTTGTTTATAGTGTAATAGTATTAATTGTAATTATTTAATTTTACTATCCTATTTTCCAATATTTTTGTGCAAAGACTTATAAATATAGAATCTATAATATGAATAACTATGTATTCCATTTTTATTATTCATTTTATATATCAATATTTTAATCAAGTTTTATTTGATTAACACCTAACCGATTACTTAAAATCTAATCATTCTAATAATGACAAGTACATGAGTACATGAAAAATGACATAAGTAATTTTTATTGGAATTTGGTGAACCACATTCTTTGCCCAATAGCTAAATTAGTTAGAAATCTAGGGAAATAAAACAGAATTAATAATTACATTTTTCAATTGTTTAAATGTTTAAAATCGGGTTCGTGCAGTTTTTGTATATATACATTATTATTCATTAATTGTTAGATGTATAGCGTGACACTTTAGTTAATAGATGAAAACAAAAATGCTCCTGTATGGAGAAATTTCAAGCCTAAAGTGACATGTCATACAATAAATTACATGCATTTCAATTCATTAGTAATTTTTTAAAAAGTTTGTTGCATTTCTAAATTGTTTAAAAGCATTTACTGTAAGGTTGTTGATGGCATGGTAGAAGTCTAGTTTGGGTAGATCGACGTGTGCCTGAAACAAATTCTCATTAATTAAAACATTTAATTAGATTTAAATTCAAACTAGAAGACATACCTTTTGTGGCCATTCTAAACGGTTTACTGAACATACGCTCACCATTATGATTTTGGCTAAGCACCATGAATTCATATTCCTTGCCTGGCTTGAGAGATGTGATTTCCACATTTGTCCCGTACGATTTGACAACTTTACATTCTGTGTCATTTGTCGCTTTGACCCTAATAATATTATATTTATTTTCTAATGTATCATTTATTATTAATACACTTACCAGACACTATATTCACCCAATTCGTCTGTAGTGCCTCGATCCCAAGAAAGCATAACTGATGTATTATCGGATAAACCTGTCAAATTATGAGGACCTCTATGTTCAACAAGGAGTTCTGCATATGATGTTACAGATGATGTATCGTTTGAAACAACACACTGATAAATACCGCTGTCAGAGTCTCTAATGTTCTTTATAGTCAGGTTTCCCCCTGATATCACAGCTCTTTCTAATGCTATCATCCCATCTTTCTAAATTAATTTACTTATTTTTCAATAGTTCAATTTATATTATAAACTGTTAGTTGGTTAAACGTCTCATTCACCTTAGTCCAAGCTATATTAGGTGTCAAGTCACCATCCAAAACATCACATATCATACGGACCGTGTCACCTGGATTTCTTATATACAAATTGTATGGTGTACGTGCTAATAGAGGTGGATGTTGTACAATTACAAGTATACTTTCAGATGGCCCAGTAGTCCCTAATTCATTGGATGGCGTACAGGTGTATTCCCCAGCATGGCTGTCCTCCACCTAAAATGCAAAAATTAAAAATATCACTGGTAATATTTAGTTACTTAATAATAACTTACTTTGTCAAAAAATAAAGATCCGTTCCTCCTTGAAAATACCCCTTGTACATTGAATGGATCAAATAAAAAGCCATCCTTTTCCCATCTTACTTTTGTCAGAGTTGGATTTGCTCTATAATGACAATCTAAAGAAGCAGGCTTTCCAATAGGAAATAAAACTTCTTTAGGTGTATAAATAACTCTTGCTTTATCTGAAATTTCAGTATTTTTCTCCCCATTAACTAATACAATAATCATTCTTCTTTAAACTATACAGGGTGAATTGCTACTCGTGCTACAAACTTCTCCAGTAGATTCTTCACCCTAAAATGAACAAAAAAGTTCATATTGTCCATGGTCCGATTCTCAACCATTTCAGAGTAATTTCGCTTTTTATCGATTTTGAAAGATATCACGTCCTGGCGTCGGAAAATCGTGATATCTTTTAATCTAAACATTTCTCTGAAAATCTAATAGCACCGTTGAAATTCCCGTTAATTTTTCAATAAGAAGATGACGGTGGCAAAATGTTTGGGCTAATTTTTTGTGTTTTATTTCAGCCAGAACTACAAAAAGAGTGGAAAATTGTGTAAATCGGAAAGTGTATAAAGTAATCCAGAGTTTCTAATTTTAGTCTCAGAAGGCAGCAAATTTGAGGAAAACTACCTGATTTAATAACGCTTCCAACGCACTCGTCATTTTCTTATTTAGTGGTTGTGAGACCAAGATGTTGATGACAAAAAGAGAAAAAATGGTGGTTCAAGGATTGCTAATGTTTGAGAGTGACTTGCTACTCGTGCTACAAACTTCACCAGTAGATTCTTGACCCTAAAATGAACAAAAAAGTTCATATTGACCATGGTCCGATTCTCAACCATTTCAGAGTAATTTCGCTTTTTATCGATTTTGAAAGATATCACGTCCTGGCGTCGGAAAATCGTGATATCTTTTAATCTAAACATTTCTCTTAAAATCTATAAGCACCGTTGAAATCCCCGTTAATTTTTCAATAAGAAGATGAAGGTGGCAAAACGTTTGGGTCTTTCTTCCTTGACCTTCTAGCTGTTTGTAAACTTCTTAAGCATTACATACTAAATGGGCATTAAATTAAATTAAAAAATTTCAATGGAATTATGATTTTGATTCTCTCTAAAAATTAACGGGGATTTCAACGGTGCTTATAGATTTTAAGAGAAATGTTTAGATTAAAAGATATCACGATTTTCCGACGCCAGGACGTGATATCTTTCAAAATCGATAAAAAGCGAAATTACTCTGAAATGGTTGAGAATCGGACCATGGACAATATGAACTTTTTTGTTCATTTTAGGGTGAAGAATCTACTGGAGAAGTTTGTAGCACGAGTAGCAATTCACCCTGTATATTTATTTTAAAAAAATTGTTCACTTATAGTTAAAGAATACATTTAATGAACAAAGGTCAATTCTATCAAACGTTTTATTCCTTCTGTTCTTCAGTTTTAAATTACTACACTGAAACATTTTTTAATATAAGACAAGGGAACATTACCAGATGACTTTCATCATAGTATTAAAGGTAGTCAAATATTGTTAATTTAATTTCAGTTCCATTCTGTAATTACTAATTTTTTGAACACAAGATTTGAGATCAAAAGTTCAATACCATGGATGGGATTCTGAAAACTGTGTGTTCGGATCCCATACCATTCCCTTTAATTAGTAATTATTGGTAGTACTAAAACAATGTGTATGTTACAAAATAGTTTACACCACAGTACAAGATAGATAAATTATTTCCATACTAGAATTTCATCTCATCACACTTGCTAGACACTCGTGGAATTTAAACAAATTTATAAAAATAGAATTTCTCATTATTGCATCCTTTTAAAAATAAACTTCCTATTTACGTACTAAAATGGAAAAAAATCAATTAGCATTTTTATACTTCCCACTTTTTTAGTTAGTTCAAAGGACAACCTTCATGTTAATTGCTAGTGCACTTAGTTCAATTTCCAATTCAATGAAAACTAACAGTAACAAAGGCAAAATGTTAATTGATGTAAGTTACATTGATGTGTTAATTAAAGCACAAATTAATTGTTCTATTAAAGAGAATGAATAATCTGTTTGTTAAACAAATAGAATTTTTTTTTTTGCATGAGTGCTAAATAATTACATTTCATTACCCTTAACCAAACAAAACATTTTAACTGACAAATCCAAATTAAAATATAAATACAATTATATGCTTTGGGCTTTTTGAATTAATATTCATAATTTTTAATAATGGTATAGTGATATTATCGTGTCATGACATGACAGAAATTTAACTTTTGCTGTGAATGTTGTAATAAAATTATCCATTTTTTTAAATAATTAAATAAAAAGTGAACTCCCTATAGCAAAATGATTCTTGTTTCTGACTAAAGAGTGAAAATAATAAGGACAGGCTGCCTGGAGAAGTTTAAGCTTTAAACTTTCAGGGTCAATAAAAGGAAACAAACTGAAGAAATTTTTCTATTAGAAAAACGGCAAAAATCTGTGATTGTATGATGTGATAGACACAAACAAAAAATATATAATGTATTAATTATGAACCAAGTTCATACCAACCATTTCAAAGTGTTATTTTTACTCACAAAAAACATTGAGGTAAGCTGATGCCGATTGAGTCTCGCCATTCATAGCAACCACTTCGCATTTGTAATACCCGGGGTCTGAAGGCTGCGCATTAGAAATATTCAGAGAGCCTTCAGGTCCGACCCAGGACCTACCGATCAGTTCAGGGAAGTTGGACAGCGGCACATCATCTTTGTACCAGGTGACCCTTGCTGTCGACGTCTTTGATACACATTCCAACTTCACATCTTCACCTTCTAGAACTGTCTGGTTGATCGGTGGCACAGCCAGTAAATCGCTTCCTATAAATTATGTCATTTTAATGTGCATAGTATCCCAATTCAACAATAAATTTTATAAGTTTTTAATTGACAAAATTTTGGTCCTTTCTGTTCAATTGCTCAAAGGCTGTTTTACGTAAGCCTTTTTATTATTATTATTTTAATTTCTCATAAACTTAACTGACAACCAATATCTACAGTTAAAATAATTTGTTAACAATGAAATATGATTAATTTTAGGGAAATCACTAAACCATAAAAAATATATCTAAATGTTGCTAAATGTGTCCCACATAATAAAGAATGGTCTGCTCAATAAGAATTTTTTGTTTTTGTTTTGAGCCAAACAGCAAGATCGATCCTGGGTTTTTCAAGAAATTGTCATCTTCTATTGATTTTAGTTAGTTGTTTGATGATCTTGCATGATGGTCTGGGAGACATTGAATACAAATTGACCACCAGCATTGGGTCTACCCTCACATGTTTCGCTGTCATCACAACATGTGAGCTTTGTACCACTGTTCCTCACTGAAGGTGGTGCAAAGCTGAAAGTTGTTTAAGCGACATCAAAACTCTCATGTGTAGACAGACCCAGGTTGGTTCAATCATTTGGCCAATCCACTTTAGAAAAAAAATGGAAATTTTTTAAACTATTAAACTTTACTAAAATATGAAAAACATAATAAAACTATAAAATTGAACTAGTCAAATTTTTTTGTTTTCTATTTTAGGATGGTAAACAATTGTAAATAAATTCAGTTTAAATATTTCCAATTAAAAAAAATCCTGTGCATACTGTTGGGAAAAAACATTTTATTTATAAACAAATGCAACAAAAAAAAGTTCTCGTCCGATTCTCAACCCTCTCACAGGTATTCAACATTTGTGTTTTTTCAGCTATCTACGGTTTTCATCATAAACCTACTCGCTCTTGAACTATCCACTATCCATTTTTTTTTTGGGGGGGGACATTGAAAAGAATGTTAAATTTCGTTTAAGAAGACACCCTTTTAAAACTTTCAATTTAATTTTTGGGAAATAACACTAAATCTTTTAAAAACTAATAATTTAAAACTTTTTAAAAACTAAATTTGCAACCTCGTTGGAAACACCAAAGTAGAGCTTGGCAAATTTTATAACAACTTCTTCATTTAATATGCTTTCTAACGGTACACCCTTTTCTTTAATTACATGCAGAAATGTTACGCTAAATGGGAAAAAGAGGTGATAGTGTGAAAAATGGGGAGTGGGGTTATTCCTGTAATTCAACTTTTTATCCTGGGCAAAATTTATTTTCCAATTTTATTTTAATGAAAAAGCATAAAATGTAAAAATGAAGCAAAACACGAAATAAAGAGAAAATAAACATAGCGAACAACCAAAGTAGAAAAATTGAATAAAATTTCTACACAAAATACAGACAAAACAAAGAACAATACGGAAATTATAAAACCCAACTTTAACCTAATAAAAAGCACAAAAAAAAGAAAATATCAATGTAAAAATCAGATAAAACACATACAAAGAAAGACAATAAATGTAGTGAACAACTAAAGTAGAAATATTATGTATTTCTACATACATACATCATCAAACATTTCAAAACATCAATGATTTACTTCATTTGGGATGTGATGAAAGTAAGACCCATGTGCATTTTTACTTGTTTTATTTAAGAATCTTTTCAATAATTTAAGAAGAAAATCTTAAATAAAACGTAAAAATCACGTGGGTCTGATTAGTTCCAACACCTACCAAATGAATTAAATTTAAAAAAACTTGAAAGAAGCAAACAAAATTTGATAAACCGTCGAATATCCGCGAAGGATTGAGAATCGGAATATGAACTTTTTGTTGCATTTGAGGTGTAGAAGCACCTAAAGAACTTTCTCGTACAAGTAAGTGAATCACCCTGTTATATTGATGACAAAAAATGAGTTAATTTGCGACGGGAAAAAATAACGGCGGAAACGATATGCTAAACCAACATGACTTACAGGAATTGCGTGTAAGCTTTGATTTTATTGTGATGTACCTATAGTTTAACCGTTTCCTATCATTTTGGAGATCAAAATAACGAAGATAGACAGACCAAAATAATAAGAAACGACCAAACTCCGGTAATTTTATTGTTATGATGGAAGACCCTGAAAGACGAAATACCTCCTTAAATTTTTCTTTACTCTACCTCTAATTATCTTTTGATTGGATGTGTTTATTGTGTAAATAACGCAGGGTAAGTTAGTTTCTTTCCCGTCATTAAGTTTGGACCAACGAAATTCTATTTCAGTGTCTTAATTCTGTTTTATTTCTGGAAAATACAAAATGCTGGACGTAGTTAATCAACGGGCGTGCCAGATGTCATAGGACAAAATTTATGAGAGAGATTTTGTCATTTTTTCGAAAACTGTTCTGAAGATCAATTTAAATGTTATAAACAATTAATATACCACCTCTGAATGGATAATTCATCATTTATTTTCTTAAACGGATGAGGATTATCATCAGGATTATATTTATATATTATTACCAAATAACTACGCACGAACTTATTTTCTAATCTAATTTTCCAAAAATATGTTTGTTCTGAAAATGCATAAAGAAACAATTCGAGTATATAAGGCGTGAGTTGTACAAATTCACAGCTTGTCGGACGTAAATTAATACACAAGGTGGATTAAAAAATCATTGTGCACTTACACATAAAAATATATTATATATTTAATTTCAAATATAACAATAAAATAATACATTTAATTCAGTTTCAATGACTAATGAACACTTCGTTTGGAAAGTTGTTCAAACTAAAATACTGATTTGTTCAATTTTGTACTACAGATAAAACATTATACTTAAAATAATGTTTCGATCAAGGATTGAAGTATAATAATACATTCATTGACTTTTTCGTTTTAACCGTGGAACCTTTTTCGCTTTGCTTGTCTGTTTGTTAAGAGGCTGTCTTTGAAGTCGACTTCATCGGCCCTTTTTAAGTAAATGTCTTCTTTTTGCAGCCTAATGAGTTCCAGTTGTTCCAGAAGGAGGAGCCGGTGAAGTTCGAAGTTGGACAAATTTTTCGTCTCTTCTGCCTCATCCTCGCTGGAGCGGATTTTCTTTTTAGCACGCATTTTTTGAGACTTCTCGACCGGCGGTTGCTGCGTCGAGATCTCTGTTTCAATCTGGCCCACTCCCGAAGAGCAAGGCACTGTTAACAAGCAAAATTAACCGATTACATTCAAGCTCTTGTCGTATTTTTTTTTCTTTAAACCTGACAATCAGACTTTCATCACATGCAATTTCGGATATTTTCAAATGAAATTTTGACCGTCCTATATGAAAGATTTAACCGCCTGGCGATTGCCTTACTAGTTTATCTTTGCGGTAAACGCAATAACGTCAAGTTCTCGTTTTGTACAGAGATTATTTGGCCGATATCTGTACGGCCCAAAAGGGTTTCTGAAAAATATTTGAAGTTTGAAAAATTTTGGATTTTTTTACCAGGTAGCTACTTATTGCATTTTGAAAAGTGATTTCTTCGGACTTTAATTAACTAACTACACCGAATTTACGATCTCAAATTCAGAAAGCAAGGATTCAAAGCAACTAAAGTTAACGTCAACAATGAAAATAAATGTATATTGGTGTTCCACTGATAAAAACGACCAAGAAACGGATAGATTTTGGCAAATGTCCACAGCTACTCTGACAAAAGTGAAAAGTCTGCATTCACAATAAACATTAAATAACGTTAAACCTTAAAACATCGTTAATTGATCATTTCAAATATTGTTGCACATATAACACGAATTAACCCCGGAATCGACATTTTTTAGCATTTCAATTTTTTTTTTTTTTTTTAAATGATGGTATTGTAGCCTATGAGAAAACGGTTTTTGAATGGTGAAGGCTTTCAAAGAACTGTTCAAACGAAATGGGGACAACAACCGGAAATTGAGCCCTGTTTGTTTACATTTTGAACGTTTAGCATCATGTCTTCAACGTACTTTTGTAATGTTAACGTGAAATTAATACGTTTAAATCATTAAAGTTTATCAAGGGAATTCGTTAATGATGATTATAACGTGTTAAGAAAACTATTTATTCTATATTCTATCACTTTCTTTCTTCTACAACTATCTACGTGAAGTAATAGGCGTTTCAACATCGACTGAGATCAAAACTGTTAGGGAGAAATGTTATGACTCTATTCACTCAAATTATACGACATAAAAATCAATTATTATTACTATTGTGTTACTATTAAAATTATAATTATAATTATTTGAGTTAAGAAAAAATTTTTTCCAAAAAATCTCCACAAGTTTTATGCTACCCTTGGGTTAGAACATTAAATTTTATTATTTATTTCGGGCCTCTGCTCCCTAATAGTAAAGAATAGTAATTATCGTTTATATTATAATCACTGCATAAACAATGTTGAACAGCAATAAACACATCAAAGTTTAATAAAGCTCCTCATAAGACATGGCATTAATTGGAAACATCATTCATTTTAGTTATCAGCAGTTGACTTAAACTAACTAAATATTTTACATCTATGTTATTTGTAATTAATAATCAAACTCAACTTACCTGATCCATTGATATAACATTTATATCTATCAAACCTCTTCTCATTTCACGAAAGACAACAACGCGAGTATTTTTGCAACAAAAACAAATGTGTATAAATATGCAAGTGCGTGGTTATATTTACAAAATTAAATTTCAGACATATACATACAAAACCTACATGTGTGAATGTGTAAAACAATTATGTACAAAACCAACTGAATCATAGTTTGTGTAAGATTGGCTTGTTTTATTTAAACCTAAACTACCGTAAAACCTTTTTTCACATATTTACTTTTCAAAAATTATTTAATCCATGATGATGTAATTTTAAAAAAAAACTTTATTCAAAAAAGATTCAGCATTCTACTGGATTACAACACAGGTTTCAACATAAAAAAAAATTCGTGTTCAAGAACTTAATCCTTATATTTAAATCGAACCTGATAGTCCGGGCATGTATCTATCGTGGAAACATCCTTGCAAATCCTTTTTACAACACTGATATCATCATTAATGATGATCTAGCGAAACTCGACGAAAATAAACTCGGTCACTTCCTTTGGACTCTGATGGAATTCCAATACCTATGTCCTTTTATTTTTCTAACCTGAACTTCTTCTGGGCAAGAAACGTGGGAAAATAACAAAAAAACTTCAATATAAGAAACAAACCAAAATATGAATAATAATAAAAATGTAATGCAAACTTGATTGCAATTAAATTCACTAATTTCGTGGTCCGCTTGACCAATAAATGTAGTACAATTAATTAAGGTTTTTAGTCGAGATAAAAAAGTCAATGGCACGAGCGGGATTTGAACCCACGATCTTCGGTTAGATACGCCGCTGCTCTACCACTTGAGCTATCGTGACCTCGATCCGCTCGGACAACTTCCTATCTCAACCGCACCTTTTGAATTTTCCCTCCTTTTTGCCGTTTTTCATTTAATTTATTTTAATGAATTAAATGAAGTATACTTCATTAAAGCTCTCCGTGGCCATTTCATTTGTCGCCGAGAATCCAATCCGATTACACGACATTTGAAAAATGGCAAAAAGGAGGGAAAATTCAAAAGGTGCGGTTGCGATAGGAAGTTAATGTCCGAGCGGATCGAGGTCACGATAGGTCAAGTGGTAGAGCAGCGGCGTATCTAGCCGAAGATCGTGTGTTCGAATCCCGCTCGTGCCATTGAGTTTTTTATCTCAACTAAAAACCTTATTTACTTGATTGCAATGTTTGGGGATCGATCGAACATTCCAACTTCCGATGCTTTCAATCCACCCCTCAAAAAAAATTCTAATGATCCTAATGCACAAAGACCCTCCATACCATTTGTCCTTGGCATAATCCTCTAAAGTCTATACCAATGTAATTCACCCAACGCGATAATCCTGTAAAGATGAAAGTGGCCTTGAGCTTTTTCTAAAATAGTGAATAGGTACAACCTGAAGTACTGTTTCGCTGGACATCTCCCGTAAGTGATTCTATGATTAATTAACTACTTTAAAGAGATTTTCTAGTACACTTGAATTAACTATTAACATAACTCTGTATTAAACCCCTCTATGGCATAAGAACCCACTCTTTTAATAAGTACCTCAGACAGAAGGATAAAAAGAAAATGAGGGAGCAATGTAATTCCCTCATTGGACACAAACAATCCAAGAATCTCCTAAAGTTTGGAAGAAAAGAAGTAACAGAATGTATCAAGGGAAGCAGGAAAAACACTGCGCATCTTAACAGGACACTGCAAACTAAATGGACATTTAAAGAAGGTTGGTATAACCCAAGATGGAACAAGCAGAATCTGCAAAGAAGCAGAGGAGACATCAACACACCTATTAACAAACCATGGTGCTACACTTGCCCGCAGGAGGAAGTGTTTTGGGACATACAATGTGACTATAGAAGAAATAAAACCACTGAAACCGGGCCTACTAATCAAGTTCCTTGGTGACTCACCGGTGTGCTATAGGCACAGAGCGGGGGATACAATTAAAGGGTGCAGTATATTACACCCGACTAATACTACATACATGTTCTAACTCTATTTTAATTAATTATTTAGGGTCGGCCTATAACGTTGTTTGAAAAGATCGAAAAGAGGTCCACAAATCATTATAGTTTCGTCAAGCTTCCAACGTACATTACGCCATTATCAGGGCTGAGTAAGTTACAAATTGTTCCTTGTATTTGTAGTGTACTCTTATTATTTTACGGAAAAAGAACAATAAATAAATGAGTCTTTACAATTTTACTTTGTCGAAACATTGGCAGTTTCAACGTAAAAGAGTTTTGTACTTTTTTTCACTGTCGCGTAAGTTGATCGCAGTTGTATAAAGTATGAAAGACTTACCGTGGACGGCGAGGTGAAACCAAGTGCCGTTGTCTCTGGTGGAAGGTGTCCTGTTGGGAAAGCTGATCCTGCACTCGTACCAGCCGTGGTCGGTTTTTCGGATTGCAGTCAGATTCACCTTGGCTTTTCCATCTGCGATCGTGACAACGATCCGGCCTTTGTAGCCCTCTTTCTCTGAGGTCATGACACCGTCTTGGATCGTAAATACTCGTTCTCCCTATCAAATCGTTTTAACAGTTAAAACCATAAATTTATTTTAAACGGTGAATAGAGAGTCTAATATCTAAAATGTTAGTTTCCTTATATGCAACTTTGTATTTACAATAAATATAAATAATTTATCACAGGCGAAACGCCGGACCGAGTTAGACATACATCAAACGACAATATTCGGACCAGAATAAATAATAAACCATCAAAATGCAGGCAAATATTGTACACAGACATCGCAGAAGCATCTTTTATGTTTTATTTGTCATAAACAACAAAGTATCCTTAAGAAGAAGGTTTAACAATGTTTGTGTTGTTGTCAAAGTTTTTAGAGTTCAAATTTGTAACTCTTTACGTTTTAAAACTGTTTCCTGAGCTTTCCTCCAGTTTGATTTTTATGGTGTGAACTACTTATGATATCAGATTTCAAAAGTACATTCCATCAGGTTTGACATTATAACAGGGTAGTTACTAAATTAGTTAATAATAAATTGTATAAGTATAAATTCAATAGAACACTAAATATAGTGAGTGATGTTTAGTGACCATTACTTGATGATTATTTGGAGGTCGTGAGATGCGGTCTGGTGGGACGTAGGTTTTAGAAAAATATTTTTTTTATCGTGCCAACTTTTCGATCTTTATTGAGATCATCTTCAGGGACTAGAATTTATATACATTGTTTAAACTTTACAAATACATGTAGGATGTGAAAAAAATTAATTTATACAATGCTAGAAGATTTTAGATTAAAAAAATGAATTTATACAATGCCAGAAAATTTTAGAATCAAGCGAAGTATTTGTACTCAATCAAAGTGTTTGTTTTTCGTGTAGATGTGTCATTCTTGTCTGTCGTGTTGAGAGTTGAGAGTTGAAACAACTACTTTGATTGAATCTAAACTTTTCAAGCATTATATAAATACTTTTTATAATCTAAAATTTTATAGCATTGTATAAATTCATTTTTTCTTTTTTTTCCATCTAAAATTTTCAAGCATTGTATAAAAACTTTTTTTAATCTAAAATTTTGTAGCATTGTATAAATTCATTTTTTTCTTCTTTTTTTCATCTAAAATTTTCAAGCATTGTATAAATACTTTTTTTAATCTAAAATTTTATAGCATTGTATAAATTCATTTTTTCTTCTTTTTTTCATCTAAAATTTTCAAGCATTGTATAAAAACTTTTTTTAATCTAAAATTTTGTAGCATTGTATAAATTCATTTTTTTCTTCTTTTTTTCATCTAAAATTTTCAAGCATTGTATAAATACTTTTTTTAATCTAAAATTTTATAGCATTGTATAAATTCATTTTTTCTTCTTTTTTTCATCTAAAATTTTCAAGCATTGTATNAATACCTTCAAATGTCATAAGCTCCCAAACGACCATGAAGTCATTTTTACCACAGATTTCCGTCCAACAATAACCGTATCATTGCTTTCTAATTAAATTATAGATGTACCACTAGTTTTACACTGGTTCCACAAAAAATATTTTAAAAAATCACAGATTACATACTTTAGTGGAATGGTGTACCTAAACAATTCAAATCCTAACGATGTATTTATCGACAAGGTTTTCTCATCGTTACTGGATCGATTCGTCTACATACTGTTTTTAACAATTGTAGAAAAGCGTATGAACCAAAAAGCATAAACATTATAAAATACTGGATTCCACAAATGCTCCCTGATTTTTAAAATATAAATATTTTATTTCCTATAAATTGAAAATGCAAAAAATAAATATCAAAACCACTCATTTGTGTTGTTGATGATGATGATGGTGAAAGGAGATTAGGAAGTGGGAGTTTATGTTCCCCAAATAATGCAACGTTTAGGCTCATTGTACTTTCCTAGTTCTTTAGTTCAGTCCGTAAATTTTATATTTCTTTAGTACAAGCATTATCACCGCATTATCGATAAATGGAATCATCATTATGCCAATGTTGTGTAGATATTTGTTTTTCAAATACCAGTGAACGGTATTCACTCTGTATATACTCTGGGTTTAACCCTCTACTGTTATAGTGGTTTGCCAGCCTTGGTGAGGGTTGTTTTGGCAAAATTTTACTGAGTATATCGCCCCTACAGTTTCCACTTCTCACTTTCGTCTTATTTGGGTACTTTCTGTGATGGAGGATTCTATGTTTGTTTTTGTTATCCCAATGATAGGTTCAGAGCCAATAAACACTGATAGGCAAAAAATTGTACCCATTTTCAATATAACTTGATTTGTATATATTTTATATATTAATCAAAGTTTCAAGTTTTTTAACGGTTAGCCCATTCTTCACGAAGAGTCCTTTCAAGATCGTGGAGTGTGTGAGGAAGTGATGGATGTGCTCTTATTCGTCTTTTGAGGTTATCCCATAAATGTTGGACGGGTTCAAATCTGGAGAACGGGCTGGCCAGGCTATGACCCTGATGTTATGCTGTTGAAGGTTCATCCATTAGAACAGGATTGTCGCTGATTTTATCGAGGATAGGCAATAACGCACATAGCGAGTGGCTGTCAAATACTCTCCACGAACAACAACCAATTCTGTGCGTCTCTCCATTGAAATTCCCGCCCAAAACATCAGTGAGCTAAGTTGAAAAGGTAGACTCAGGGAAAAATTACACGCTTCATCCCTTTTCGCCTTCTTCACACTCATCACATCTACTCTCATCTGTAAAATGCACAGCAGACCAATCGTCTAAAGACCAATGGCTGTGCTCTCGAGCAAATGGGTGTCGTCCAGCTCTGTGTGTTCTGGTCAATTCTGATCCTCTTATGGAGTGAAAAACCATCAGTTAATACTGATTTAATCTTCTTCGAGCGGTGCGTTCAGAAATTTGGACACCTCTAACTTCCTGAAGTTGATGAATCGCTTGAACAACAGTAAGGTGCCGGTTTCGCAAAATTCTCAAAGTAAAAATCCTTCATCCTGTGGTTCTGTAACCCTAGGACGATCAGAACCGGACATTCTTTGGTAGGACCCAGTTTCTCGAAATGGAATGTCCGTCGTCGATAAGTGCCACATCTCGCGCAACATCCTCAGCACTAAGTGGCATTTTGAAGTTTAAAAATTTAAATTAAGAAAACAAAGATGACAACTAATCAGTTTATTGCTTCAGAATTCAAATGAGACTGAATAATCATTTTAAATTCCGTAAAAAGAAAACAGTGAAAAATCCTTTATCCTAGTTTTGGATTAAGGATTAAGTGTGATTACCTCTAATTGATATTCCGAATTTAAAATATAGCATAAACAAATATTTTTGGTAAAAACAATGAGACAAATTAAGGGCAGAATTTTCTTTTATCGAGAAAATGGAAAAGAATCAATTGGGTGGATCTTTTGCCTGTCAGTGTATATTCTTGCAGATCCTCCTCTGACCAGTGTGTCTGCTCTTTCTTTATCCAAAACACTTTGGGTCCTGGAACCAAATATATTATTAGGTTGTTGTGTTTCCCCAGGTTTTGGAAATTTTGGATACATTCACTGACACGAATCAATTGTGCGTGACAATGGAGTATTGTCAAATTGACATTAAATTTATTATAAACGAACATAAAAACTTTGATTATACACGTGGAAAACGATATGAGTTAACTGTTTTGAAATAAATAAACTTTTAACAATTTCTATAAATTGTATATTAAAAATCAGCAACATATAATGTGATTTTTACTGACTTGTTCTTAACTAGTCCGTGGAGCTTGTCTGTAAGCGATTAAACGACTTTCAAGATTGTTTATCTGACGGAAGCGAGTCAATTACCCTTTTCCTAGGCAATTACTTCCTAATGTTTCTCAAATAATAAATCTGGATTGTCGTTTGTCCTTTCTCAAAGTTTCCGGTCGAACGGATTGAACTTTTCGATTTAGGTGGTTGACAGGTCAATTTAAGTGTTGGAGTACAGAAGAAGATATACGGTTGGAGCGTCCAACGTCCCAATTTAAGTTCTACGTAAAATTCTAAAGTTTTAAGACTAAAAGAACAACATTCACAAAAAAGCTTGCTATAAAACTAATATGATTTCAATGGTTTTAACATAAACGAGTTTCTGCACACTGTTGAATCTTACTTCTCGTTTAAAACTGTTCGCCCCTTGACAAGAGTAAAGAATAAAACAATTGGGGCAGTCGGGCGAAGGTCGTTGGGGGACGCACGATCCTAATGATCAGCATAAAAGTTCCCCTTACTCAGCTGATGGTCCTGAATGACCCATTGCTCTTATTTTGGATCGTCGATACCTCTTTGAATTGCACGGTTCTTCATAACGAATAAATATTGAATTTTGTGACTTTCATCTCGACAAAAAAATTGTCCCACGGCTAGTTTTAAATTGGTGAAATATGTGTGGTAATTAGTGACCTTTAGTGTATGATTATTCGGAAATCGTGAGATGGGGTCTGGTGTGACGTAGGTTTCAGAAAAACATTTTCTTTATCGTGCAACGTTTCGATCTTTATTGAAATCATCTTCAGGGCTCAAAGTGTTTGTTTTCTGCGTAATTGTGCCGTTCTTGCGTGTCATGTTGAGAGTGCCCCATTTATATACAAATTTAAACATTACAAATACATGTAGGATGTGAAAAAAATGAATTTATACAATGCCAGAAAATTTTAGATCAAGCAAAGTATTTGTACTCAAAGTGTTTGTTTTCCGTGTACATGTGTCATTCTTGTCTCAACTCTCAACACGACAGGCAAGAATGACACATCTACACAAAAAAAAACACTTTTAATGAGTACAACTACTTTGATTGAATCTAAAATTTTCAAGCATTGTATAAATACTTTTTTAATCTAAAATTTTGTAGCATTGTATAAATTCATTTTTTTCATATCCTACATGTATTTGTAAAATTTAAACAATGTTTATAAATCCCAGGCCCTGAAGATGATCTCAATAAAGATCGAAACGTTGGTACGATAAAGAAAATGTTTTTCTGAAAACTACGTCACACCAGACCGCATCTCACGATTTCCGAATAATCATTGGGGAAATATTTT